ATCACACGCTATGCCATGTATACGTCTCCACACATGAAATGTGGTGAGTTCATCATTTAAATATTACAGTAATCCTGTACTGTGGTAAGGGGCCGTCCATAAATGACGTCACGCACCTAGGTGGGGGGGTCAGACATTTGTGACGATGTGTGACGACAACACGTTCTACTTAATTAAATAGACTTTTTAATAAATGTTCTCTCCTACAACTTCAGAGCGCAGCGCCACATTAAATACGCACTACAATGACAATAGTTTAAAGCGATTTAAAGCATGTTTTTTTTTTCAAAATGAAAATATGGTTTGGGGGGGGAGGCAGAGCTTTATGACGTCATATTTGAGGGTGGGGTCTGACTTTTGTGACGCCGTGTGACGAGGAGGGGGGGGTCAAAAATCGTCCAAAATCGCGTGACGTCATTTATGGACGGCCCCTAAGACACCACGGGGCTCACAAGAAGCGCTTGGTGCAATACTCAGCGCTTGCCACAAGGCGAGAGTCAAGAGGTCGTGGGTTCAAATCGAACTTACGTTACATGTAGTTTTTTCACTTTATAAACAATCATATTTACTTATTTGTTGCTCTGTAAGTAGCCAACCGTGCTAATCGTAGGTGCGGGCTAGAAGGTTGTCGCTGCCATAGCTGAATAGAATACCAGGCCTTGAGTTGCCCTCTTTTTAACTTTGATTACTTTTCGATTTAAAGCTTTCGTGACTGCAGGGATTCATCTTCTTGGTTCTTTCGGTAAAGTCACGTAGAAGGGAAGTAATAAAATAATAAAAATAAAACATAATAAAATAATTCTCACGACGTTTCGGCCACAACGCAAGCAGCGTCTGAAGACGCTGTCGCCTCGACAGACCTGGTTTTCACCTGAGGACGGCTGCTTGCGTTGTGGCCGAAACGTCGTGAGAATTGTTTTATTATGTTTTATTTTTATTATTTTATTACTTCCCTTCTACGTGACTTTACCGAAAGAACCAAGAAGATTTTATTACTTTGTTTAAATATATTACAACCCTCGCGACAAAGTGGGCGGGAGTCAAGGTCGTGCGTTCAAATCCAACCTCCGTTATACAACTTCACGAAATAAACAATGAAATGTACTTTGTTCTTTGTTGCAACGTTTATCAGCATGACAGCATGAATTAAAAATAGCTAAAAGTATTTCAACAATATGCATTATTGTTTTCAATATATTCGGTACGGTCAAGGCCTTTAAACCCTGGCTTTTTGAACTTTTAATGAAATTACATTCATATATTAATCCTATATTTCAGAATATACAACACTTTGTATATTTTAATAATGTTTTAAACTTGTTCATGAACAATACCTCTTTAATTACTTTGCTTGGAAATGCGTTTTTGTCGAATTCTTCTTCTTGACAAATCTAGCTGAGTTAACATGCCAACGTTAGACCAACGTTGTTGTACGTATCGAAGTTGCATTTCTTTACAGGATTACATTGATAGTGGAACAACGTACGGTTGTACTGCGGTGGCTAGGAGATGTTAACTACCTCGCCTGGTATACAGGGGGTAGTGGGTTCGATGCCAGACCCTGACTCCTGCTGTAAATTTGGAGTTTGCATGTTCTCCCCGTGATCGCGTGGATTTTTCTCCGGGTGCTCCATAATAGAGGTTTTTTTTGTTTAGAGCGCATAAATATATTAATGTGTCGTTAAAACCCGCCACCACCCAACACAGCCAACTAGTAAGTAAGGGTTGTCACGAAAACAGAACTCGTCACAAGTACAACACACCGGTGTGTTTGATAGCTTATGGAATGGCCTAACCTGGTAAAAACAAATCGTTTATATCATGGGACCTCCTTTTCCAGTACCAAAATATGATAATAGGTTTTACCCTTTTTTTCTGGCAACAAAACTAGTGTCAAGATGTTAAAACACCAAACTGAAACCTTTTACAAGGAATTTTCTAAGAATGCATATATTATCAGAGTACGTTTTTGTTTGCATTCTGACCACAAGTATTGTGGTTAATGCAGACATGATTCCTTGTAAAATGTTTCAGTTTGGTGTTTTAACATCTTAACACCTGTTTTGTTGCCATAAATAAGGAGAAAACCTATTCTCAAAATTATTTATAGTTTAGTTTACAGTGGGAGCAACGTTCAACAAACACACGTCCCTGTCATAGGAATGTGGAATTTACACAAATAGCTTGTGATAAAATCACATGAGTACCCACTCGTTTAAGTTAGAACTCACTTTTAATGCATACTGTATACTTTTTTTGTTAATTGTTTCGATACCAAACTTAAACACGAGATGGCAATCACGCCCAACTTACTCAATACCAGAGCTTCGCCGCCACGTGTTTAAGTCGCTCGCGATTGGTCCAAACGTTGTCAGCCGCTCATTGTTTACATCACGTGACAGCCGCTGTCATCGGTAATGTCTAAAAAAAAATCACTATACACATACTTAATCATTGTTATCTTCTTAGATATAAAATAAACATTGCAATGTTTGACATGAAGACTTAAAATATTTTGTCCTGATCAAATTATTGTTTTCTCCCTTCATACCACCAGCAAACGTTTACTCAAGATCTTGCATTCTTGGCACAATCAGAATTTCCTAACAGCTTATCTTTTCTCGAATGCACGTTGTTTAATTGATTATACAGATGTAATCACGCCTCCTTGCCAGGAATGTAGGAAAGCATTGAGACATCATCGACTAATATTGATTTTTGTTTACGATCATCATGATACATGTCCATGTTTTACTGATGCATATTTCATACATATACATGCATCAGTATGTATATGAATGAAATTCTGTTTACAAGCACTGAGAAAAATATTGTTACTGTACTGTACTTAAATTTGGGTTCTGCGTCGAGTTATTTGGCACATTCATTTTGTGTGAATGCTTCCAGCAGCGGATACACAAAGGGCTGATAAATCATTACCATCGTCAAATCAAACGATGTCTACGTGCACATCCACCCACCATCAACACTAGATGGTGCCAGCCCAGACTACTGTCGAGAAAAGAAACACTCAATCCATGTCTTGATATCACTAATCATCAGTTCGCTGCTTGGTGGATTGTTACATCGCAGCTTGGTCGTGAGATGTCACAGTGGCTTTGGGTGAATGTCCAGCAGTGGATAGACCATGGCTGAAGTTGACGGCATTGGTGTAACCATCAAACGCATCAGAACATCAACAAGCCGATGTACATGTCTTCAAAAATGGAACTTTAAAGACGCAAGCCACAGTGATTGTGGCAATGCAACTCAAAATGTGGACCACAGAGTAAACCACTTTTGCCTGTGCTCCTGCAATGTAGGAGGAACAGTTAAACTACACCAACGCTATCCTAGCTAGCAGAACTCTACATTGGCATTTAGCTCCAAAACATATTGCCATACGGAAGAATCGAATAGAATCCAGCGGATGGAATGACAATGTCTGTAAATCATTACCAGCATCATTACAATCTGTGTCGTCTTTATACATCAACATACACGCATCAACCACCACATGAAGCCAACCTTCTCACTACTACTACTACAGTAAAAAATACATCCATTTCATTATATCACTAATAAATTCGTGTGGAGGCGCTAGGTGGATTATATTATTACATCGCATCTCGCTAGGGTCGTGAGAGGTCATGGTGTCTTTGGGTGAACATCATCTCGCAGTGGATTGACCATGGCTCTTGATGATACACATGCTGATTGCCAAGGCTCTCATTTCCAATTGACAACATCTGGTCCATGAAGATGAAGTCTCCTTTATCCAGCAGTGGGATGACGAAGGGAGCTGTAAATCATTACCACCATCATCATTGTAAATGTTGTGAGTTTATTCCTCCAATACACCGGTATGCTGAAGTAGTAACTGATTGGCACCTTTTGTTAACTTGACAAACATTACTAATTGATTTTGTAGGGTGGTGGTGGCGGGTTAACATCTCGCACGGTGATGAGATGTTTACTACCTCGCCTGGTATACATGAGGTCGTGGATTCGATCCCGACCCTCTCATGCCTGTTGTATATTTGGAGTTTGCGTGTCTCCCCCTCTCTCCTCACCGGGGTCGCGTGGATTTCCCCCTCCGCTTTTATCCCTCCACATTTAGACTCAACATCACGCCTTAAACGAGTATTTGGGCCGATGTCTCTTTTCACATAACGATAAGGCCACTCCGTTTGAGCTCTATACATTTCGTGGCACCAAAGTCGCTTCCGAAAGAGCGCTACATAGCTCAGTGGCCCTTAACAACAACACAAAAAAATTAACCCGTAAAAAGAAAGTATTTCACTATAAATCCTTTATATGCGTGGCGGCTAGAGCCCTCTCGTCCTCTGGCTTGAGATGGCTGCCACCTATGGGTCAGATGATTGCCTGCCACCATTAAGCAATTGGTAATTAAATTTAAAAAAATTCCTACAAAGTGTAAAATTTTTGAAAAAAATGTTCACGAAAATAAATTGTCACGCACAACGAGTCTGTGTGCAAAATGTCAGCTCGATTGGATCACGGGAAGTGGGTTAAAAAAACGACCGAAAGATTTGCACGGTCCTAAGCAAGCAAGCAAGTGAACTTAATATAAAGGATTAAAAAAAAAACCTTTATTACGGACCCATCATCACACGAACCCTTTGTCTCTGTGAATCCCAAGCCCATCAACCACCACCAAATCCCACGTGCCCCCCCATCTGCTTAACAGCAATCAAAACACAATTCCAAGTCGCTCGCTTCTGATTGGCCACTGCAGCACGCTGCTCGCCCTCCTCTCTCGTCGCCGATTGGTCGGGCGGGTCGCGCACGTGGGAGGGGTAGGGGGGGGCGAGACCCGCTTCCTCTCTCGTCGCTGATTGGCCGGGCGGGTCGCGCACGTGGGGTGGGGGTAAGGCCCCGCCTCCTCCCTCGCCGCTGATTGGCCGAGCGGGTCGCGCACGTGGGGTGGGGGAGGCGAGGCCCCGCCTCCTTTCTCGCGTCAAAATAAACCCAGGCGCTGCTGCTGCAATCATCATCATCAGCTGTTGTTGTGCCTACCTAGCTAGCCACTTACCAAGCCACTTACCTACCTACCTAGCCCTGTGACCACGCAGTGGTTGTCTAGATCAAGCTAGCAGTAGAGATACACAGAGATATACACGGAGAGAGAGTGAGAGCGAGAGAGAGAGAGCATTCTATTGTGTCTGCGTCTCTTCGCCTCTCTGCGGTCTTCCGCGCGTTCTCACGATCGCCGTGTGTGGTTTTTTGTTTGTTATTTTTTTAGTTTTTTTCTTCGCCACGTTTGTTGTCGTCCTCCGACATCGTCTCTCCCGCAATCCATCCTCATTTCTCCCCCCTGCGTCGTTTGCCTTTTCTGTTGCGAGGTGTGCGCGGGATAGGAGCTCGCAAACTCTGTTCTAGTCTTAACAGCAGCACTACCCACCACCACCAACAACATCAACAACCCTTCCTCCTTTTGTCGTCCCAGTAAGTATCGAATGCTGTGCAGCAGGAACAACGAGTTTGTTGACGGTGTGTGCACGTACGTAGCTCCGATGTCGTCGTAATCTTCTGCGTGTGGTTTGTGTCGTCTTTGTTGTGTTGTGTTCCCTTTGTGAATAATCTTCTGCGTGTGGTTTGTGTCGTCTTTGTTGTGTTGTGTTCCCTTTGTGAATAATCTTCTGCGTGTGGTTTGTGTCGTCTTTGTTGTGTTGTGTTCCCTTTGTAAAGGTGGACAAATGCGTCTTGGTTCTCTCCTGCCTCCTGTGTGTGGTGTTGTGTTGTGTGTCTCTTTGCGCATTGTGAGTACTGTATATCCGTTGCTACGTACGTGTCTATCCCCGTGTGTCTTGTGTTTGTGTCTATGTACGCGTGTCTGCATGTGTTTTAATCGGTGCGTTGTCCTGGTGTGTGTGTGTCTGTCTGTCTAGGTATGTGTGTGTTTCTTTGTTTCTCTCTTGTTGTGTCATGGTGTGTCTGGTTGTGGTGTGTATCCTGGTGTGTGTGTGTCTTTTCTCTGTGTGGCGATGTGTCTGTGTCTTTGTTTCTGTCTTGTTGTATCATGGTGTGTCTGGTTGTGGTGTATGTCCTGGTGTGGGTCGGTGTGTGTGTATGGTACTGTCTGTGTATGTCATGATGTCTGGGTGTGTTACTGTCTTTGTGTGTCACGGTGTCTCCTGGTTGTGTCTGTGTCCTGGTGTGGTTGGGTGTGTGTCTAGGTGTGTGTCTGTGTATCCTGCTTTGTCTTCTCTGTGTGGCGATGTGTCTTTGTTTCTGTCTTTTTGTTTCCATTGTCTTTGTGTCATGGTGTCTGGTTGTGGTGTATGCCCTGGTGTCTGTGTATGACATGGTGTCTGTTTGTGTGTGTCCTGGTGTGTCTGTCTGGGTGTGTTTTAGTGTGTGTGTGTGTGTCTGGGTGTATTACTGTCTTTGTGTCACGGTGTGTTTAGTTGTCTTTGTCCTGGTGTGTCTGTGTGTGTGTGTCTGGGAGTGGTACGGTCTCTGTGTGTTACGGTGTCTCTGTGTCTATGTCCTGGTGTGTGTTACTGTCTGTGTCTGGTTGTGTCTGTGTCCTGGTGTGTCAAGGTGTCTGTGATTGTGTCTGTCCTGGTGTGTCTGTGTGTGTCTGGGTGTGTTACTGTCTGTGTCACGGTGTCTGTGTCTGTGTGTGTGTTACTGTCTTTGTGTCACTGTATGTTTGGTGTGTCTGTGTGTGTTACTATCTGTGTATGTCATGATGTCTGGGTGTGTTACTGTCTGTCACGGTGTGTTTGGTGTGTCTGTGTGTTACTATCTGTGTATGTCATGATGTCTGGGTGTGTTACTGTCTGTGTCACGGTGTCTGTGTCTGTGTGTGTTACTGTCTTTGTGTCACTGTGTGTTTGGTGTGTCTGTGTGTGTTACTGTCTGTGTGTGTCTCCTCTAATGTGGTTATACTGCATTCTCGAAACGTGTGCGCCGTGTATTGCCGCAGATGCTGTCAACAACACACACAGATAGACTTGGCAGTGTTACGGCCCTATGCAGTGTGTCCACATGCGTGTTTATGTCGATTTGATTTTAATAAATTGCCTTTTTGTCACGGTTGTTCAAAGCTTTTGTGTGTGTGTGTGTGTGCGTTTGATTCTACACCAACACAGATATTTTTGTTTGTGTGTTTTATTTACTAAAGAATGGCCATTAAAGTTGTATTTTGCTGTTGATGTCCACTGTGTGTGTGTGTGGTTTTAAATCTGAATGTTAAGTTGTTGTTGTTGTGTAAATTGTACAGCGTCGTGTTCGTCTGTGTTTTTAATTACTGTACAGTGACGCAACGTGTGGTTTTGTGTGTGATTGTTTATCGTTTCTGTTGAGTTTGTATTCGTGAATGTTGTTTTGTGTTTCGGTGTGTAAGTCTGATCCTTGTAATGATTGTTTACTGTAGTTATAACCTTTTGATGTGTGTTGCTACACGCAGTGTTATCCTTATTGCGCTGTCTGCTATAGTTTATACCTCGTAACACGTCTCCTTTGTGTCGTCTTATCCTTTGTAGCGATGTTTGTGTCGCTTTGTCGTGTATATATCTCCTGTATTGTGTCTCCTTGCTGTGGCTTTTGTTTAAATCTTTTGTGTTGGCGCATTGTTCACCATTTACCACGTTCCGATACGAGGTGTAGGGGTACAGTCTAAACACTTTCATAACAACGCCACACGAACATTATCATTATCACCACCACGATTACTTTAATAGGTTAATATAAACATGAAGATGGGTTGTGTGTGTAATAATAAATAATAGTTGATGCTGTGTGCGTGTGCCCTTTGTAGCAACGTGGCCCTGTGCACGGTACTGTACGTGACCACACGTGTTTGTCGATGTGGCTTGTGTCATTTATGTGTCTTTGTTGTGTGTCTGTGTGTCTCTGTCATCTCTACCCGCCCCTGTCACCCAAGCCCATCGTCTAGCAGTGGATTGATCAAGAGCTGCGAATTATTTATAGCACGTCTACTGTACATCAATCTGCTACATTTGTTTTGTTTTTATGACACACGTGGCCACAGTACGTGTGTGTGTGTTTGTGTGTGTGTCGTTGTGTGTCTTTGTGTGTGTGTCTTTGTGTGTTGTGTGTCTTTGTGTGTTGTGTGTCTTTGTGTGGTGTGTGTGTGGTGTGTGTGTGTGTGTTTATGGGGAGCGGTGGTGTAGCGGTTAGCGCGCTGCGCTATGAACCCGGCGACCCGGGTTCGATTCCCGCTCACGGCCAACACCAGTTCTGATTATCTGAACCGGTCCTGGGCCCCCCCCCCTAGGTCGACTCAGCCTGAAATGAGTACCTGGTGCGGTGTGTAAACATCGCCACTGGGGAGACAAAGGCGGTCGGGCGTGGCGCTGGCCTTCATAGGTGCTCGCTAACAGCACTTGCCCCTACAGTCTGTTAAGGCTATATGGGGGATCTTTATCTTTGTTGTGTCTTTGTGTGTGCACCTAGCCTGCCAATGGCAAGCCTTTGTATGTATGTGTCCGTGTGAATGTAATTGTGTGGTTCATATTGTGCCAAACCCATAGGGTTAACCCCGTATTCTTGTACAGGGAAGTTGAGTTTTCAGGTCCATATTGGCAACAAAAATAAAACTCTTATTCGGTTGTGTTTCTCTCCTTGTGATGGGACTTTATATGATGAACGTTGATATTTATAAGTGGCACGGGATGACCAATAAGGTCTAAATTGATCTGTGATAACGTAGGGCACCGATATGGAATTGACAGGTATGATGTTTGATGTGTCTACCTAATGGCTGTGTTACCTACACATGTAAATATCAATGTCTGCGTGTGTTTCTACTGCGTGTGACTTGCATATCGTGTCTGCACTGCATGTGTATATGCACGTGGTTATTTGCGTATGGGGATGTCTCCCTGTGTGTACGTGTTCGGTCTTGTCTGTAACACCCCCATCAATCACCATCGATCCGCATGTCTACGTAATCCTTGTACCTGCCCGCTCACACCGCCACGACATTCGATAACAACGTTTATATTTGGAAGAGCATGAACGTAAGCGGCAGCAGTATTTATATTTTACAGTACATCACGGCAGAGGGCTTCTCCTAGGTAATCGCGTTGGAGACGGTGGCTCTAGTAACGCACAGATATAAGTAGATAAAAGTACAAAACAATGCCCTTTACTGGGTAGTGGCGCATGGTGTAGTATTACATGTGGCCCGCATTAAATACGCGGCACAAAATACGAATTTGGCCATTTATTAGATGGGTTGGCTTCGGCAAATCCGATTTAAAAACACGATTTGTGTACAAAAACAAAGCGCAGTTGTAGCGCCTCCTAGTGGCCGCAGGGGTTACGTGAAGCCACTTGCAGACTGTCTGAAGGATGCTCTGTCAACTTAAAACACATTCCTGCTGCGGAGGGAGCTGGTAGCAACACGTTGGGTTGCTCGGTCAATGGCCTGCAGGGTCAACGGCGGCGTGGTGTATTCCGCAAATATGCCCGACTGTGAGGGCGGGCACAAGCCGGCGTGAGTAGGTGAAACGTTGAGTACTCTTAGGTTTTTTTCAGTAAAGTCACGTAGGTATAAAATAAAAAATAATAGAAAATAAAAAGAAATAAAATAATAATCATTTTATTATTTTATTTAATAAATATAATAGAAAATAATAGTTTAACACGTAGGCTTTCGCGTCCAATGTTATTCATAATCAACGTTTTTGGGTTTAGATCGCGTTATTTATAAATGTGTCGTAACCCTCCACCACCCGACACGGCCAATCAGTAAAAATGTGTCACGTTGACAAAGACAAATAGTTCACTGCTTTAGCCCACCGGTGTGTTGAAGCCACAACATTTACAAATTGTACGTGACACATTTTTACTGATTGGCCGTGTCGGGTGGTGGAGGGTTACGACACATTTATAAATAACGCGATCTAAACCCAAAAACGTTGATTATGAGAAAATAATAGGAATAAAAAAATTATATTATTATTTTTATTATTGTTTATTTTTTACCTACGTGACTTTACCGAAAAAACCTAAGTATGAATCCTTGCAGTCACGAAAGCATCAAATCTAGAAACGTTGAGTGTTTCTATAAGGGCACCACGGGGTGACCAGCCCCTCTCTCTCCGACGGACGGACACAATAATCCCCTGTGGGCTGGTGTAACCAGGAGGTTCCTACCAGTAATATTTGTCAATAGAGCTGGTCATGAAAGTAGACAAATCTTCTAGGCGACATTTCAGGCAATAGTCTTAATGTATGTGCCATAAAGAAGGTCCATCGCCTGAAACGTCACCTGGTATTATACCCTTTTCGGGCAGTGTTGTTGACGATTATGAGTTTTCTATTTCTGCTTGTGCACCGCTAGCCATGCGGTATCACCAATATAGTTTGCAACTTAGACGTGTGTGTGTAATATATATAATTATGTGTAAGTTGATTTACACATTCATAAAGTCGTATTTGTGTAACCGGGTGAGAGAAACTCGACGTAGATCAGGATGAGTCGTTTTAAAGTGAGCTTCTGGTGATATGGAAAATTCTAATTAGATAAAATAATACAGAGTGATGAATCGTTTCTCTTCCACATTGTTGCTTAGCTCATTTCTCGCTTGTACAGGTTTGGTGCCGGTCGTTGGCTCAAAACAAATTCTAAATATTACGCGTGCGTGAACTCTCTCCCACGTTCCAAGCAATGTCTATTGGTTTGCATAAGCAGTAATTTCTATAATTTGTTTTCCAAGTAACATAAATTAAATTCTAATACTGTATGCTGTATTACGCGTGTGTGAACTCTCTCCCACGTTCCAAGCAATGTCTATTGGTTTGCATAAGCCGTAATTTCCATAATTTGTTTTTCCAAGTAACGTAAATTACATTCTATTACTGTATGCTGCTACGTGCATGCTAATAGAGCCAACTAAAACTGCAGACGAAAAAAACCCCAGTACAAAACTAGGCAGTCTTTACAAATATCTTCACATAATCGAAACCTTCGATTTTAAGCTTTCGTGATTGCAGGGATTCATCTTCTTGGTTCTTTCGGTAAAGTCACGTAGAAGGGAAATAATAAAATAATACAAAGAAAACATAATAAAATAATATAGTAAAATATAATAATATAAGATTTTTATTATTTTATTATTTCCCTTCTACGTGACTTTACCGAAATAACCAAGAAGATAATGGAAACCATCAAATCGACACATCGGATGATGTGGGTGCATTGGTTATGAAATACAAATGTGCAGCCCATCAATTGCATTGTGACGTCACTTGCCTGGCAGGAAAGGGCCTCCCCACTAGACGGCGCTCCAGGGTGTTTGGCCTACTCTTCCATCGCACGCGATTGACCGGTCGATTGTGTTGTTGTACCCAGGTGCGCAGCTGGCAGAACAAGAAGGCTAGGGGATTTAAGGGGGGGGGACATGACCATCGCGTAAGCTGCCATACCTGGAGATTGACTTGTCCACACCCGGCACTCCACGTCCAGTATTCATCTCGCTATACCTGTGGCTACTACGATTCGGGTGCCTCTTCATCTGCCAGCGAATCATCAAACATCTTCAGTGACATTGGACCCTGATTATACTCTTACAAATCGTTTCAAACGTGCCTATAGCCCTCTCATTGGCCAGATAACATAACTAGAATTAGAGGCTATTTCGATATATTGCCCCTCTTGGGGGTCCTTCTGCCAACGGTTTCCGTTTGCTGACAATATTAAATGTTTACACTATGAGATCTCCTTTACCAGTGGCAAAATATGGTAATATGTTTTTACCCTTTTAACTGGTACAAAATCTGACACCTTTATACGCCTTTTGGCGTCATCTGGTCCAACACCAATGGAGACTAAAGAAAGCTGTCTCGGGTGTGGACCAATCAACTTCAAGGACAGTGCATATCATTATCATCATCAGAAAAAAATCATCAGAGTTATTTCTTTTTGTTTGCATTTTGACTTCTTGTGTTGAGGTTATTGCAAACATGATGCCTTGTATAAAGGTGTCAGATTTTGTACCAGTTAAAAGGGTAAAAACCTATTACAATATGAAATGTGTATTTTTTTTACTGTACCGAGCGGTGGCTGTACATGCAATGAATTATAAAAGAAAACACAGACGCACAATAGATGATTCCACGTGCGGTTGGGCCTTTCTGAAAGAGACGTCTTCGTGTATTGTCTGGTTTGTTGACCTTTTGGTTTTGTTTGTTTGTTGTACTAACACGGGAGTGGCACGTGGGTTGAGTGTGTCTGTCTGCTGTGGAAACTTGAATAGACCTTCTTTTGTCCACTTGCTGCCAGTGCTAGCTGTTGCAGGTGCAGACTTAATAATGATCATCATTGTCACCGTGAAATCAACAGCAGGTTTTTTTTATCTCCATGGTGAAGTATGGTAAAATAACCCCACCCACAAGGCATGGAGAGGCCCTCATCCAGCAGTGGATTAACCAAGGGCCGTCAATTATTTTAACACTTCCCGACATTGCGAAATGAGTATTGCATACTGCTCAATTGCAGATGAATTGGTTGAATTCATTTTTTGCAGATTATGACCTTTGACCAAATCGGAATCTTTATTTATATGGGAGGAAACCAATGAGCTATGAAACTCTTTGTCACAAATGTCCAGTATGGGCAGATTGGCAAGTTACAACAGCAACATCACTTGGGATGTTGTACCCTTAGCCATCAAATCTTGGAAGCTGAGCAGGTTTGAGCCTGCACGGCCAACCATTGGGTGTCGTAGGCGTTGTGGGCAGTAGAGGTCACTGCAACAAATGTCATTGGAATTCCCTTCACCCAACCCGCACTGATCAGTGTGGTGAATTATGGGCTTTATTTTTATTACAAAAATGTAATATATTATGTAATTTTTATTTTTTAATAAGTGCTGCATTACACGTATGTGCATGCATTTACATCAGTGCCAGACTGATTGTATTTAAATTAGGATGTAGACTAATGAGCCAGATCTCCTGATGGCGTCTCACATAATGTTGTTTGATTATGCTAATGCGGTTGTCTACAATATTCAAATTTGGCATTTGGTCTGTGTATCTCAACTCCAGTCTTCCAAGATGCTCCCACACAGCCACACAGTCTACCCTTTTGTGATTTAGAAATGTATTTTTTTTAATTAATATGTAAATTAAATCGCTGCACACACATCTGATGGTTGGAAATCGCGGGGAGCTGCCGCAGAGGTTTGCGATGACCTGGAGTTGAGAAACTGATCTAATAGCGCTCGTGCACTTTGCAGCCCAGTGGCTTTTACACAAATAAAAAAAAACATTACTTTACAACAGCTGGTGTGTTGGTTTAACGCAAAGATTACTTGGCAGGCTGAATCTGGAATGGAACCTTGGCAACCACGTGAACAGACAGGTTCAATAGCTTGCATGCTCACTTGACACTTGTAAAATGTAAACGTGCCTGTGCTGTTGTGCTATGGATAGAGTGACTGAGACTTGTCATAGGAATGTGGAATTTCCACTGCCAGTGGAGATTAATTCCACCCCACATTCATTTTGGTTGCAAGTACTTTACAAATAAAAATGTTCTCCCATTTATAAATGTGCTGTCCATGTCATGAGATGTATGTAACCTTCCACTTGGGACTTTCACAGTGATCAGCACAACACCTCGTACCAAAAAACGCCCAGGAAGGAGATGTCATAGAACTTCTGTGATATTACATTTTACATGCCTTGCAAAGGGTGTTTGTCACCCCCTATTCAAGTGCTAAATGGCCCCGTGATTTCATTTTTTGTCGACAGGTACCGGCAGACTCGTGCAGCTGATCCAAACTGCCGAGCAGAAGGAGAGAGCGGGTGCGAGAGCTATTGAGCAGCGAGCCGCCTGGGCGAGCGAGAAGGAAAGGAGGAAGAGGGACCTTCGTGGTGGAAAGAGAGCAAGCGAGCGACAGAGAGGGAGCCGCTGCGGCTCTAAAGTTGGGACCGGGAGTAGCCAGCCAGCCTGCCCGCGCGCGCGCCGCCAGGGGAGAAGGTGACGGAGCGACCCTGGCACCATGGTGAAGCTCAGCAAGTCCAAGACCTTCCAGGCGTACCTGACCAATTGCCACCGCAAGTACAGCTGCGTGCACTGCCGCGCCCACCTGGCCAACCACGACGAGCTCATCTCCAAGGTGAGAAGGGCGCACATGTCGCACGCCACGGGCACCACAGGCACCACGGGGAGTGGCCACGCCACAGCGTCCGAACGCATTTTGAAGGTGGCTCAGAACGCGTGCCGTGTTATCCGCGCCCTCGCGGAATCGGCCACACCACTGCGCACCACGCACTGTGCATTGGAGAGGCGGCCTCAACGTATATCGCACACCGTGCAGACGAATGAAGCCTGTACTTTATACAACTCTGCGCAGCATGCAGAGCCAGCCTTAATTTGCACCATTTATCTTACACCGTGGATAGTTAGCCTCCACACACGATATATCACGCACCATGGAAAACGAGTCTCAACGCACACCACGTGTCATATATCCAGCCTCGACAAACGCCGTACATCGCACTACTACGGATGGCGAGCCTACAAAGACACACCATCACACACTATGGATAGTGAGCCTACACACAAAGCAAAGATCCCCCTTGTAGCCTTAACAGACTTGGGGAAAGTGCTGTTAGTGAGCACCTATGAAGGCCGGCATGGTACGTGAATGGATGGGTGATCAGCACCATGCCTGACCACCTCTGTTTCCCCAGTGGCGATGTTTACACATTGAACGAGGTACTCATTTAAGGCTGCATCAACTTAGGGGAGAGCCAGGACGGGTTCAGACAATTGTCATTGGTGTTGGCCATGAGCGGTTATCGAACTCGGGTCGCCAGGCTTGTCACGCAGCGCGCTAACCGCTTCATCGCTCTCACACTTTTCAGTGGCAGCCTCAACATACACCATACATTACAACACTCGGGAGTCATGCACAGCGACGAGGTCACAGCATGAACGACCTGGCTCAACGTTTTGTCACGTGTCGCACATGGAGCGCTCTCTTCAACATCTCCGATTTAGCACGGTTGGCTATGTACGGTGCGAAAGAAGCTCTACATACATACAACACACAACATACAACATACATCATGCAGATCCAATCTGACCACACGTCATGCAGATCAAAACCTCAACATGAACCACAACATGCAAATCCAACCTCGTCACACACCACGCACATCCAACTTCAACACACACACCATACACCATGGACAGGCCATACACCACACCTCATGCTTTCGGCCTGTACCAAATGCACCACTCGCACACGAGTACACACCACGTGCTACAGGGATCCAACTTTCACACCTCGCTCACCGCACATCACACACCTCACTACCAATGGTGCTCGGATATTTTATATTTTTCTCTTATCACCGTCTCCTCCTTATCTGTTCAATGTGTACTGTTCGTGCCACCCATCTCAAGCCTGTCTACTGTCTCTTCACATTCATCTTTTATTCATATGCACGTCTTGTTCTCTCTCTCTCTCATCCCATTTCAGTGTTTTTTTTATTATTATTATATAATTTTAATCTCATTTGCATCAATCGCGCGATGTCATTCCTTGCCTATCGCCCTGCAATGAATTCACCCCGACATATCCCGTCCCTTGCCTCGCTCTGCCCTGCCGCACTTCAAATTCACACCAGCGTCTCCCACCTTCCCTCCCTGTCTGGCTCTCTCAAGCTTCCAGAAAGAAAGAAAAAAACTCTGTATCGGTGCTGAGAAATTAATGCCAAAAACACAAGCCTGAACATTCTGTACATTTACCAAATACAGGTCACAGAAGTGGACCGGGTTGTGTGTGCGTGTGGTTTTTTTTTGGTCTGGGCAGTTAGGAAATTTGGCTTCCTTTTTATTTTATTGTTTACGTCTGCGTGATTTTTTTTCTCTCTTTCGGACATGCACCGCTAAGTAAATCGGCAGGAAATGAGCAGAACAATGTAATGACATGCATTGTCTGCCCTGTGCTGGTGGTTGTTGTTGTTGTTTTTTATCGTTATTAAGACTGTAGGGATAGCTACCGTGGCGTCATGGTTCGCGCACTGCACTTGCAATCCAGAGGTAGCCTCCTGTTCGGTTTGATCACCCGGCGCGGCATTTGAAGCGGTGGTCTCAAGTTCAATTCATCCCTCCCCACCTCTGCCCATCGATCGGCATGTCGTATATGTGGTGGGGTAAAGTGTGGATCCTCCCACGGTCATCCGAGACGTCTGGCCAGTGTGCGCAAGTTCGTCAAAATACCATCTCTAGACGGGGCCCTCTGGAGCCAACCTCTGGTGGAGGTCCTTCCGCCAACAGTGGCGTAATTGAGCAATAGCGGGGCTGCACCTTAACCTCTTATTTTAACGCGTGAGGGTTTTCTCTGAAGCCGCCAGGAGTATTGTCGTCAGCGGCGGTGGCCCCATCGATCTGCTGCTGGTCAGCGCTGGGAATGCGGTGTGTTCTTTGTAAAGGGGCCGCACGCTTGCGAAACAAAACGGGGATCGCGTTTGGCCCGTACCGAGTTGGCGTGTGTTGATTCTACCATTGGTCGACCTGCGCCGGTTTGGAAGCCGGCGAGGGCCTGTTGAGATGCAGCACCGCTCCTGTTTGTCAAACGGGTTCTTCTGGCTCCGATCTCTCTCTGGGTCACGGTCAAGTTTGTTTTGAGGAATCGGACACTGTTCACGGAATAGATTCTCTAGAGGTCGGGTGGTTGACCTTGCCAGCGATTTAATGACTTTTCTTAATTAAGGGTCATGATGCGATTCAAGAATTTATTATTGTTTTTTTTATTAACGGTGTGGTGAATGGTCGTGCCTATAGTGGCTGAAGGGGTCAAGTGAACCCATAATGCTAATAATTAAAAAAAAATTTACCGAGGAAAGCATCGCTGAGTCTCAAGACTCGATTTCAGGAGGGCCCTTCATTGGGATATTTGGACGTTTCCATTTCTAATTAATGTTTGGCTTCATGCGGGAGAAACCTGGAGAAGTCTGAGAAACCCCACCACGCATATAAATATGTAATTATTAATTTAATATAGCGTCGTTCATGCAAATTGCATCTGTAACATTTGCTGAGTAGAAACCACAAACAAGCTGCCAGGCGGTGAGCTGGTGCCAACAATTGTTCTGCAGTTCTTTCTATATATATATAGTTCAATATGTTTTCAGTCAATAGGTGTTGATACATGTGAGGGAACCGGTGCACTCGTCGAAAACCCGCGCGTGCGAGGGGGCAACACCCTATCCCATAGGGGAATAGACCGATCATATCGGCACGGCCATGTTCTGGCCACTCCTCTCAGCCCCACGCCTACAGCGCCTGGCAAGCCCTGGTTCAAGTTCATTTATTAGGTATAGCCCTGTGAGCCATTCGGCTCTTGAATCGGGTGCAACCGCAACAAAAAATACATGAACAAAAAACATCTTAAAGTGAATATGTGACTAAGTGCAAACAGAAAATCCAAGAAAAGACGGTAAAATATTGCAGAAAAAAATCACCGTACACCAACGCTGTGTGCAAAAATCCCAGTGGGATGCAAGTCAAACAAGCCAACAACAACCACAAAACAACTTAGTATTAAGGCCATCAGTCTAACTCTGTACTACAACAAACAAACATGGCTAAACCAATACACTTTTCGAAATCACCAAAATAAAGCCATGAAAGCAATGAGAAACAGTGATCATAGGAACTGTGACGGAATTTTCACAATAAATGGCATAAACCACATGTACTACCAAAAACCCTGCAGCCCATAGCTGGGCTGCATGAGTCACTCCACAACAGTGGTAATGTTGGTGGTGGCCTCCCATCGTCTGCCTCCAAGAGCCGACGACATTGGACTCATTGGGGCCTATGCGGCCGTAGCTGCCGCCCGCGGTGAGGGTAAATAAATAATGAACCGAGTAGTGTACTTGCCACACTTGGCCCGGTGTGCCGAGCCACGCGTGTCACGTACACCGCCAGCGTTTATTGGAGCAGCGGCCACAGCAGCAGCAGTGTGAAAAGATACGGCTCGTTTAAATATTCATGGGTCGCGGAGTGGGGAGGGAGGGCTCCCTCGCACGCACACAGGCCGGCCGCCGGGATCTTCTTCTTCTTCTCCTGTCGGTGCCGGCGTGTGTGTGGTGGGTTGCGGCGAACTCTGCCGTCCATTCACCCTCCGTCCCTTAGCTCTTCCCCCCCCCCCCCCCCCCCATCTCGCCGAGCAGACGTGACTACGGTAAATTTCGATTTAAAGCTTTCGTGACTGCAGGGATTCATCTTCTTGGTTCTTTCGGTAAAGTCGCGTAGAAGGGAAATAATAAAATAATAATAAAAAACCATAATAAAATAATACAGGTCTGTCGGAAAGACAGTGTCATTCAGACAGACCTGTTCTTCACCTGAGGACGGCTGCTTGCGTTGTGCCCGAAACGTCGTGAGAATTATTTTATTATGTTTTATTTTTTATTATTTTATTATTTCCCTTCTACGTGACTTTACCGAAAGAACCAAGAAGGTGACTACGGTAATTAAACTTTTTTGCAACACCAGCTCTGCAAAGCACGTTCGATTCGTGAACCATAACCACACAACTGAACTTTCCCAAACCCTCAACTGTCGGGCTTGCCAAAGAAGATTCTGTCTCTGACTCGTAACTTCGCGTGGTAGTGTACCACCGTCACCTTCCCGACTCCTCCAAACAGAAATCGTTCCCTCTGAATTATTGCTATAAGAATATTCGGTTTCTGAAGTATTGATTCTCCCACTGGTTGTCTCTCATCATGCCTCCTTGGCATCACCACCAGCTGTCCCGTTTGTCCAGGTAGATTTGCCTCTGAACCATCACTACCATCGAACCCTCGCTACACCGAGAGTCATCACAACACGAAGCAGAACCCTGTGCAGGTTTCGGGGAGGGAAGTAACACAAAGCCCTTGAGACAGACATGCATCAGAATACAGGCATTCAGGGTGACCTGCAGCGAAATCGATAGGGAGAGATCCAGAGATGTGGACGATGAGAGGGACATAAAAAGGCAGGTATAATGAAGAGATGGACACATGGATATAGAGACGCACAGACATGAAGGGAAGGAAACGGTGGGAGACGCCAAGAGGGACACACAGACAAATGGAGAGGTACATAACAACACAA